AACAGTCCAGGACAGAAGGACAACACCAGGGATTCAACTTTGAAGGATTTACTGGCCTACATTGCCATCTGTGTATGATTCACTATGGTACTTGGTGTAACTTACAGTAATGGTAAGTTATGGATCTTCGTTTCCAGTATAAGCATAATAGGTTTTGTGGTTTTTGCATATGTCATGCATTATAGCGCTACAACTACAGAGCCCCAGCTAACAGGATTATTAGATCTTAATAGCTCACCCTCGTTTTTCCTCAAGCCTCCTGTTGGGGTCTGTCTCCTAATCAGTCTCCTTTCCTCTTCTCTCATTAACACCACCCTTGTCCTACTTCCCTCGGGTTCACAAAGGGGCAATAACGTGCGACCTCTGTACAGTGCATGAAGCAGGAAATGGGGTGAGGTAATGGGTTTCAGGCTAGATTTTGTGGAGGATCATTGAGCTGAACAGTACAACGGAATGAGTGAAGCTATGATTCATATACGACTCATTCATTGGTGCCGCAGTTAAACTGTTCATTTTCATGGTGTGTTTAATGCAACACGGGGTCATTCTGAAAAAGTATAATATATATTGCTGGAGATTGCAAATTTTGTAGCCAGAAGTACGTATGGCTGCATTTTGTCTTTAAAACGAATGCTACGGGGCGGTATGACAAGGCTCCTTTTTGCGCTCACCAGCTGACCGCTTACCTCTATGTGGATTGCTTTCCCGCTTTAACCAATTCGTCCAGTAGCCTGCCATGTACGACGGCAGACTTGATGCAGAAAGGAGCTGACCATGACAGCGGGGTTTGAGTCTGGCGGAAAACGGTTCCAGAAAGCAGGTTAGACAAAAACAGAAGCCCAAAATGTAAATAAACAAGTGAATAACAAGGTGAGAATGTGGTAAAACCTGATAACGTGGTAAAAATCAGACAAGATTGCTTTTTAAAACTGTTGATTGGGTTTAGGGAAGTGGGTGGGCGGGTCAGTCTGTGCTTTTGAAAACACTATTGATTGGGTTTAGGGAAGGAGGAGGGGGTGGGTCAGTCGATCAGTCAGTCATTCAGTCAGTCGACAGCGTCCTCTGGTGGATTTACGTGAGAAAACCAGGCGCAAATGGCCCTCGCTAGAGAAATTTGAGATGTCCAAAAAGCATACACAGCGGCCTCTGGTGGATTCGCGAAAACAAAAACTGCAAAAAAAAAAAACGTAGCTCCTAGGACGTATTTGGTGCTATGCAGAAATGTATATAGAGGTCCATTTTCAGAATGAGCCAGTGTTGATTTATTGCTGAGCCTAGGCTCAAGGTCTTTGCACACGAAATCTGACATTTTTGTGTACGATTTTTATTTTTTGCATTCATTATCCTAAGAATTCATCACAGAAAGAAAATTTAGAATAATCAGTTACAATCAAAACAACACAAAGTGGAACCTTGTACCTGAAACCAATCAATTACTGTGATTTTGCTGTCTTGTCTATTTAAAAAGAAAAAAGGGTAAGTAAACATTGGGACTCATTCACTAAACATGCATACAGACAAATAAATCATGATTCATCAAAGACATTCGTAATTTTATTTTATTGTATGAAAAAAATTACACATGTATGTAATAATCCAATGCTATCTCACAGCAGTTCGTAACTTTTTGATTTGGTGTCTAATTCGTATAAAATCGTACGATCTCATTCTTACAATTAAGTACAATTTGCTCATCCCCCAATGGCAGTTGGGTTTAGGGGTGGGGATTTAAAAATCATACATTTTCATACGACTGGATTAGTCACTAAACTGACAAAATGTAAAATAGTTACGTTTCCTCATGAGATCGGGCTGAGTAATCATGTACGCCTGGGGTCTTTTAAGCTTGTACAAAGAACCCTACAAGTAATTAGAACTCTTATTTACAAGGTTGGCGAAAAACCCTTATATGGTGTTAGTTTGTGTGTGTATTATGCAAATTACTAACTTTATGCACACACTCATTTAAGACTCCAAATTTACTAACAGAAGATTAAGTATAAGAGCAAGCTCATGAGCTTGAACACGTTGTGAATTAGGCAGAACATTTTTTGTTCAAAATGTGCAAATGAATATGAATATTGTACACAGTTATTAACGAATAGGACTTATTGAGTCCTTCCAATCTTTTTTAGATATCACAGAGAGGATGGAGGGTTCAACCTTGTTATTACAGATGCAAAAAATGCTGAAAAAAATATGAAAACAGTGTGAATTTCATTAAGGCAAATGGTTTCTAAAATGTGTTTATAATGTTAGGTAAAAAAAACTATGACCCTCTTGATTGCAGCAATGACCTGTTGGCATCTGGTGATAAGTAACCCTATAGTCAAAAAACCGTCATGGATTTCCACACTGGTCAAATTAGATTTTTACTTGCCATGGTCTGCAGTCATGGGGTTTGCAAGCAATACCTTGCTGGTCCTGATTGCCGAAGGTGATCTTGGAAGTTAGGCTAGGATTTTAAGCTAGTTAAGACACCACATTTACAACACAAGATACTGTGGTTATTTCAGCAGGACAGACGACTCCCCATTTAGTCTCTTTGAAATGTTTTTCCGAACTGCATCGGTGTCTCCCCATGAGCTCTTATGTTTACTTAGTATGTAGCTGCCTCAACACAGGGGTCTCATGTTAAAGTCATGTCGGAAGTAGGTTGTGAGTGTTTGTAGTGGTCTGGAGTGTGTTAGCGGCACAGTTCCCCCTGGTGTGTACTCTGGCTGCAGGAGCAGGAAAGGTAGAGTTGGAAAATAGCGTCTTTAAAAGATTAAAGCGTTTGAATGGCTCACAAACTCCCTCTAGCAATACTCATCATTAGTAATATCCCTTCAAGAATGCAGTTTCCTTAACGCCATCTGGATCTACTAATCGCTCTGAGAGTTTTGCTAAATCAGTGATTTGTTTATCTTATACACTGACTCGTGGCCTGTATAACACACATCATTGGTTATGTTGCATGTTAGAAATGTAAAATATCAGACACGTGTTGTTGTGTCTGTGCAGTTAACTGATTTACTTGGTTACAGTCCTAATGTGTATGACTTGGCAGGGCAGATGGTGGTGTAATGGTGTGGGGGACATTTTCTTGGCACACTTTGGGCACATAAGTACCAATTGATCATTGTGTAAACTTCACAGCCTACCTGAATATTGTTGCTGACCATGTCCATCGCTTTATGACCACAGTGTACCCATCTCCTGATGGTTACATCCAGCAAGATAACACGCCATGTCATAAAGTGCGAATCATCTCAGACTGGTTTCTTGAACATCACAATGAGTTCACTGTACTCAAATGGTCTCCACAGTCAACAGATCTCAATCCAATAGAGCACCTTTGGGATGTGGTGGAAAGGGAAATTCACATCATGGATGTGCAGCCGACAAATCTGCAGCAACTGCATCATGCTATCATGTCAATATGGACCAAAATTTCTGAAGAATATTTCCAGTATCTTGTTGAATTAATGCCACAAAGGATTAAGGCAGTTCTGAAGGCAAAATGGGGTCCAACCCAGTACTAGTAAGGTGTACCTAAAAAAAGGCTGGTGAGTCTACTCAGAAACAGAACTTTACTGATATTGAAGAGCCATTGCAAGTACTAATAAACTGAAAAATTACCCTTACCCTTGAAGCTTGACTCTATATCAGTTTTCTAAATTATTCAAAATTAAATCAATATTGATTTAAAGCACTTTCATTATGCCGTACCTTCAACAGGATCTGAATGACAATGTTAGCTTTTAGTTTACACTTTTATTATGGTTTGCTTCTCCCTGTCCTCAGGAAAAGATCTATGTACATTATACATTCATTTTATCCTCTTAACAAAAACAATTTACATTCTATAATACATTTAATCACATCAGCGGAAACAAAAATAAAGTCAAGATTTGTAAACATTTTCCACAGTTCCATCATCATCAACAAAGCAACCGTCTTCGACAAAAAAAGTTATGCATTAGCAGAACTCGTATAACAACATATTTAAAAATGGCCATCACAAGATACCTATTAGATAATCTATAGTTTAACAAATGCATAAGATAAAATAACACTGATGAATGATTATATTACAAATAGTTTAAAAATCTGAATGTAAACAATACCAATCAAGATAAATAGTTTAATGATACGTTATATATATTTGAACAATCCTTTCACACTTTTTAAAGATGAGAACATTCATCAAATAATTTTGTAATTAAAAAAAAAAAGTTGTATATGAGTAGTCTTATAATACACACAGTGTCAAGATGATTTATTGCCTTATGTCAATAATTTATGAGTATGTTTTGGACGGTATGGTAATAATTTATGGCATGGTTTGTCCAATGTGTTTCATGAATGTAAGACTGGTGACCAATGACAGGCAGCTTTCCCCAGGTCACAGGCTTAGGGTCCCTGCTTAGTGGTAGGATTTATGACGGTTTGTCCCAAATTGACAGTTGAACCAAGTGTCGGGCTGATTTTGGCAAAGATTTACAGTATAGTTAGATTTGTGGCAATGTGTATGGTTTGTCATTTTTACAACCTATGCAGCTCTTCTGGCATTCCAGCTCCTTCCAATCTGTGAGTGTATGTAGGGGGGTTTCAGGTTGTTGGGGTGTAATCGGGCAATCGATCGTATACCGCTGACTGAGGATCCTTTGATTTTGGTCTTACTTTGAAAACTTTGTTTGATCTTAAAAAGTTCTGGTTTTATCTAACTACCCTGGTCGTCGTGCTATCTGCCGTCCTACTGTTTGGGAATGGTGGCTATGTAGACATCTGTACCCCCAGAAAAAAGCTTCTCTCCTTATCTCGTTTATTCCTGCTGTGACGTAGTCTGTGGTACTTTAATTCACATCGGAGCCATGTGTTGTGGTAAAAAACAACAACAACAAAATTATTTTTAAAAGGATGTTTTAAAAAAGAAACAATGAAAAGTGCAGAAAAATCCAAATATTTTATATTCACAAAAAAAAAATAAAAATGTGTATGTATAAATGCGTGAAATAAATAATGTATAATATTCATTGTATGCTTAATTGTCTTACACATACACAAAAGCAGATCTTCAATCAGATGTTTTAAAAATCGATATACTGGCTAAAAGAAAAGATGTGTATTATTTAATATATCTTAATTTATTTCATTATTTGAGCAATATATACTTTTACTCGTATATTAAAATTGTTTTGTTTTTTTACACCAGTACAATGTGTGTTTTACATTGGAGGTGTGGACTATCAACACACGCCCACTTTTTTCACACATCATTTTACAAGACACTAAGCCCTCGTCCCTAAGAGTAAAATCACAGTATTTCGGAAAACCAACGTGGTTGAAAAGACTTCGGCTTTCAATTTTTTTGGGGGAAAAAAATAAACTGTTCCGGAAATAAAAATGGCAGGAACCTCTAATGGTAAGTTTATATATAAGAAATATTCAAAATACTGTTGTTTAAAGCAATCGTTTTTTTTAATATTATACATGATTATTAAATCAGACATCGCTTAAAAGGCGAACTGCCCCTCTCTCTGCAGACACCAGGACTTCAGGCGATATGGGCTGAGATTTTAGCGCTGAATACTGACGGTATGTTTTTTTGGTTTGTTATATGTATATATATATATATATATATGACATGTTTTTATTTATACATTACGGTATTGTGTGATGGGATATGTCATAATTTTCTTCTTTTATTGTCACCATTAGAGTTTAAAAATCTTGCTGAAAATCGTAGCTCACAAGGTAAAATTTGCTTTTCACGTTTTATTTATTTTTTTGTCTGTTTTATGTTTCTATAGGCGTACACGCTAAATTAGTCTGTCTCTTTTTTTACTAGAGTGTATTAACGAGTCGTCTGCACCTCGGACAGTTCATGAAGATGCACCATCAGGTATTTCTTTAGCAAAACTTTTTTTTTTTTTTTTTTTTTTTTTTACCAGCGTGTATAAATGTGTCGTCACCCCTGACGAGTATTCATGAAAACACATTACCACTAGGTAATTTTTAAAAACTTTTTTTTTTCTTGTTTATTTTTCCACATGTGTTAAATAATAATGAAAAAAAAAAAATCTTGTATTGTGTTTGTTTTAACTATAGCGTCTATGAGTGAAATCGTCAGCCGTGTCGACGACAAACGGTCTACCGGTCTACTAGAGGTCTACACAACAAGTACACGCGCAGGAACGAGCAGTATGTATTGTTAGATCAGTCATTGTTATATTTATTATTACCAAAATAATATTAATAATCATACCCTCCATTTATTTTAGGACGTAAAAGGAATATTGTGCCGAGAGACCGTCGTGTCGGTGGTGTAAAGCAGAAAGTAGTCACCACTACAGCACAGGTTCATGTGGATGCTACATCTGACGAAATAAGCATTATACCAAATACACCTGAACCAAAACGACCAAGAAAATCACAAGGTATGTTATCTCTATTTAATGATATAGAAAAAAAAAAAAATCTGGTTGATATGTTTACTCATTAGCATTATTCACACACACACAGGCCAGACTGACCCAAATGTTGTTTCGAGTCAGGACGATGTTGAAAAATGGAACGACGATATGGTGAATGTTTGGAATGCTTCTGAGTTCTCAAACGAGATCCCGGTTCACGCTGCCACCACCGTGCAAGATTCGGATTCTGATACACTACCATCCAACCAGGAGGCTTACAAAAACAAGCAAAACACAAAACCGGTGCCAGTTGTGGATCAATCAAACACGTATGCAAAAGTTGCCACAAATGACATTCTGAAGTACAAGGAGCTTCTTTTACAGCTATCAAATGGATTGAACAATATTGCATCGCAGCAACAGAGAGATAAACGGACCATCGAGCTTTTCATCGCAACTGCTACAAAGGATTTAAAGCAGTTAAAACTTGATGCAAAGGAACATGCGGCCTTAGTTCGACGATGTATGGCTAATCATCAGAAAATAATGTACAATCAACAGAAAATAATGAATGATCAACAGATATTAATGAATGATAATAAATTGACTGTTCAATTATTGACATTGCTGGTCAACACACGCAAACAACAATCTCGGTAAGTTGTTTTTTTTCTTTTAAATCGCATGTCTTTTTTCTACAATATGTCTTATGTGTAGTATTATGTTTTAGACGCTCATTTTAGGGTTTCTATATACTTAGATTTTTAGTAATTGATTTGAATGATTAGTTTTTGTAACTGATTTACTTATTGTACAACTATTGGTATATTTTTTTTTTTTAACTACCATAAATAAATTTGTGTTAAAATGGCCACAAAACGTTGTCTGGATTCAGATGGTAATGAACAATATCGTACAGTGAGATTTAGAGGAGATAGTAATGATGGTCACCACGACCAACAAAACACTACAGAAACATTGCGTCATTTAATTCAAACGGTTGAGGATATGGATAGACCTAGATCTACGACTGATGCGTTAATAGAACTATTAAATTCAGTTCAATCCATGTCCGATAATCAGCCAGAACCATCTTTTGATCTGAATGTGTTTTTGAGTTCTCCTCAGAACAGTGATGTATCTGAGGATAATCAACGAGAACTATGTTTTGATCCAGATCAATTTTTAAACATGTCTCAGAACATTGATGCATGTGATGAATGGTCTACTACTGATTTTGATATGGATCACTTTTTAAATACATCTCAGAGCAGTGTGTCTGAACAGAATTCAAAATCAGATCAGGATCAGATTGTATTATCATGTCAGACAGGTGAGGGGTCTGATACACGTCCTTACCAAACATTTAACCCCACCGCAGCAAACATGGGTCTAAGTCAAGATGAAATTGAAACACTAGTGAGACAAGGCGGTAGTGTGCACAAGTACACTGTAATACCTAGAGCGCGGTTTAACGGTCTGGAAATACATAGACGCATAAACCTGCGGGAGATATCATCCACAGATTTAGCAGACTATACAACATTTTTACATGAATTGTTGTCTGAAATAGTTTCATTCTCCAGATTATTAGCCGGTGATTCCGGTGTAATAAACATTACATTGAGAGGGGAGAGTCTGACGTCTGATGTTAATACACTATTGTCGCCTCGCAACAACTATGATTTAGACCTCTTTATCAACCAGCTTGAAAAAATAATGCAAAGCAACTCTGAAGTACAGGCGGATCAGGCGTTGGATTTGTGTGTGTCAATAGCGACATGTAAAAATGGCGGCGGTCGTCGGAAGATACAAGATCTAGCACATGACGAAGTGATTAGAAGGAACAAAATGAATTTGTTTTGCCCTACAAATATCACGAATAATCTGTGTTTTACAATTTGCTTAGCACACTTTCTAAACCCTCAGAAGTCGCATTCAGAACTTGAAGCAATAGCAGCAAACATGCAAACAACAGCCGGCCACAAAGTTCAGTACAAAATAGCATTTGATGACATAGCGAGATTTGAACAGATGCTGAATATCAAAATTGTAACCTTTTATCGTTCGAACACTGGGATGTTGGAAAAGTATACTACCACAGACAAGCCACATTCCAAAACGGCATATTTATACCTGCATGACGGTCATTACTTTTTGATTAAAAACCTAACAGCATTCATAGGTACACCATACGTTTGTGAGTATTGTCATGTAGGCTATACATGTAGACGAAATCACAGATGTGAATATGTGTGCGACGTTTGCAACTACCCAGACTGTCATACCCAAACAAAACAAATAATACAGTGTAATGACTGCTTGCGCTTCTGTAGATCAAGGTACTGTTTTGAGATGCATAAACAACCTCCACCAGGACAACAGTTTGCACAATGCGATGTTACAAAATATTGTAAAATGTGTAACAGGCGTTACTACATCAGTGGATCCAAACCCAAGCCACATCGTTGTGAAGCTGAATATTGCGTCCACTGTGGTGAAAGTTTGGCTACTGGTGGAGAACATGAATGCTTTATACAGCCATACAAACCTATGGAGCCGAGCGATCGTTACATTTTCTATGATTTTGAGACACGATTTGAAAATGGTAAACACGTTGCCAATTTTGTGTGTGCGATTACATTTAACGGGGAAGAATTTGTGGCTGAGGGAGTTGATTGTGTGGATCGTCTCATTAAAAAATTTAGACGACCCAAGTATCGTAATTATACATGGGTTGCACACAATGCGTCTGGTTTTGACAATTTCATACTTTTGGAATATTTTGTTAGGATGGGAATACCACCAAAAATCACAATGCGCGGCTGTCGTCTGATCTTCATGTTTGACCGTACATACAAGCAAAGGTTTTTAGATTCATACCTTTTCATGCCAATGCGTCTATCCAAGACCCCTGAGGCATTTCAGCTAGATAATATTGAGAAGGGCTATTTTCCACATGTGTTCAATCGTGCCGAAAACGACTGCTACATAGGCCCATACCCCGAAAAACATTTTTACGGGTATGAGACGATGTCAGACAAAGAGAGATCAGACTTTGATGCATGGTACTGTACAGTCTCAGGCAAAGTCTTTGATTTTAAAAAAGAACTGGCAAAGTATGGTAAAAATGACGTTGTGCTGTTGAGAAAGGCATGCATAAAGTACCGTCACGAGTTCATTTTGTGTACAGATCTCGACCCGTTTACTTTTACAACACTTGCCGGTTGCTGCATGGGTGTGTACAAGTCCAAATTTCTGCCAAAAGATACATTGGCACTGACTCGTAATGACGGCTACACAAATCAAAACAAAACATATTCAAATGCCTCAATTGAATGGCTAGAATATGTTGCAAAATCGCGGTCCATAGAAATTCAACATGCGCTAAATGGCGGCGAGGTGTCATTTGGTAAATATCATGTCGATGGTTTTTATGACGACGGACGTGTGAAAAAAGCATTTGATTTTTTAGGCTGTTTTTATCATGGATGCGAACGTTGTTATAATCCATACGATATAAACCCGTTATCAAAATTGTCTTATGGGGTTCTCAGAAGACAGGTTAATGACAGGTGTGAAATTTTGCAGCGGATGTATGGCTTACAGGTAGAGTTCATGTGGGAGTGTGATTGGAAAGCGGCTAAAAATTCAGATGTCGGTGTGATGGATTTCATGTCCACATACAAACGCCCTGAAAGATTAAAACCGCGTGATGCATTATTCGGAGGTAGGGTAAACGCATTTAAGCTGTACCACAAAACATCGGACGATGAAAAGGTGTTTTACAGAGACATCACCTCTCTTTACCCTTTTGTACAAAGTACAAAAAGCTATCCGGTAGGGCATCCAAAAATAATTTTCAAAGATTTTGAAAATCTTGAAAATTATTTTGGATTCATCAAAGCAGAGGTCATACCGCCCCGTGGTTTATTTCACCCTGTCTTGCCCTATAGAACAGGGGGTAGGCTGATGTTTCCACTCTGCAGATCATGTGCTGAAGAACAAAATCAGGACACCCCCTGCCAGCATGCTGATAAGGAAAGGGCCCTGACAGGATGTTGGGTCAGCATAGAGTTGTCAAAAGCTGTGGAGCGAGGCTATGTTGTCTCTGAGGTGTATGAAGTTTGGCATTTTTCTCAACGCTCTGATACACTATTTAGTGATTATGTTAAAACTTTTTTACAGTTTAAACAGGAGAGTTCCGGATTTCCAGAGGATGTAGTGACTGATGAGGAGAAAGAGTCTTATGTCAAAGATTACTTTGAAAAAGAGGGGGTTAAACTCAATATCGATAATATAACATTTAATGCCGCACGACGTTCCATAAATAAGCAAATTCTTAATTCACTTTGGGGACGCTTCAGCTTGAAATCGCAGCTTCCTAGCTCAGAACTAATTTCAGATCCTGAACCGTTTGCTCGGCACATTTTTGCAAAGGGGCATGACATAAATTATTTTTCCTTTTTATCAGACTCTATCGCACTCGTTCAGTACACACAACCATACGGTAAAGGCAAGTCGACGCGTGACACTAACGTATTCTTGGGAGCTTTTACTACATGTTACGGGCGATTAGAACTTTATGATCTTCTAGAAAAATTGGGAGAGCGGGTCTTATACTGTGACACTGACAGTGTCATTTACACATATAGAGAAGGTGAATATGACCCACCGCTAGGACCATATCTCGGTGAACTTACTGACGAGTTGGATGGTGGAGATTATATCAATATCTTTGCATCTTCCGGTCCCAAGTCATATGGTTATAGTACCGCTAAGGGTAAGGTGTGTATGAAGGCTAAAGGCATAACACTAAATACTGTAAACTCCCAAGCCATTAGGTTAGACACACTGATCGGGCTGGTTGATGATTATGTTAGTGGGCGTGATAACAGCAGGCATGTACTGGCTCACACCGACACCATAGTGAGAAATAAAACCCAGTTCACACTGCACAACAAGGCATTAGTCAAAAAATTTAAGGTAGTCTACACCAAAAGAGTACTTCTCCCTGATTACTCGACAGTACCTTATGGGTTTTGACAACGTTTTTGGTCATGGGGGTGTTCAAGATGCAGGTGTTTTTGATTTCAGATTTCAACACCCCTTTACTTGTATTATTAGTGGACCGTCATTTTCAGGAAAGACGTTTTTTGTAAAAATGTTGTTACAAAATTGTGAAAAAATGTTTTCTAAAAATGTCGAAAATGTTATTTTTGTGTACAATTCATGGCAGCCTCTTTATGATGATTTGTTGAAAATGTATGATGTGAAATTCATTAAAGGTATTCCTGAGAGTTTCGATGATGATCATTTGTTCCCCCCAGAAAAAACCAATTTACTGATTCTGGATGATTTAATGGATGAATGTAGTAATAACTTAGAAGTGTCACGTGTTTTCACACAATATTCACACCATAAAAATATGTCCTGCATAAAAATAGTGCAGAACCTATTTATTCAAGGCAAGTTCAGTAGGACTATAAGTCTGAACACAAATTATTTGGTGTTGTTTAAAAACCCTAGAGACAGCGGTCAGGTGAATGTTCTTGCTAGACAGATGTTTGCTGGGAATACAAAATTTTTTATGGAATGTTATCATGATGCCACAAGTATTCCTCACGGTTATCTCTTGATTGATTTTAAAGCCCACACCCCAGATCAGTATCGTCTCAGAACAGCGGTGCTTTCAGATCGTCCGGTAGTCTATATTCAGAAAAGAAAATAGTGACAACGCCTGGGTTAAAAAAATTTAAATTATGTCTGCTAAACTTTTAAGAAACTTGTCTCTTTTAAAGTTACTATTAAAAGCTAAACCTGGACAAAGACGTGTTATTTTACAGGCAGCCACAGATGAGCTTATTGTAACATTGTGTGAAATCGCTCTTAATATACTACGTGGGAACATACCACTTACAGAACAGCAGTATCAGAAGCTGAAGAGGAGAAAGAGTGATATTAAACTCATCGCTAATAAAAAGATTGGTGTCAGAAGAAAAAGAAAATTTATCAATCAGCAGGGTGGATTTCTTCTCCCTCTTTTAAGTATTGCAGTTCCTTTTATAACCAGCCTGATAGCCAACAGATAATGTCTACGCTGAAATATGCAGAGAAGATGTATCTTGTTCCGCAGCACCAGCTGGATAAGATAAAACCGACTACGCCCCGTGAGTCTATACAACACGCTGTTGAAAGTGATTTGGACACGACTATAAGGAATATTTTGTACAGGACCGATATCGACCCGCATGAAAAAGCCAAGCTGTACACAGCTGTTTTGCAGAGGTATTTAACAATTACCAAACAGGGAGACATGGATGCGACCACTTTAAAATTGTCACTCCCTCAACATGATCATACCGATAAAGAAGATCCACAGAAGACGATTACCATAGGAGCAGTGGAGGATTTAATTGTTGATGATATTCTAAAGAATATTCCTCAGAGGAATGAAAAAAATGTTCGTTACATTTTAGACAAAATGTCTAAAAGCAAAGATCATGCTTCTTGGTCAGAATCAGGCGAATTCATGTTTAAAGGCAAAACCATCCCTGGTTCACATATGTTGGATTTAGTTAAAAGTATCACGGCTCCGCAAAAGATTGCCGATGATCGAAGACCTATAGGGTGGTATGAGTTTTTAGAAGCCTTTGCTGATTTAAACATACCGTATTCAATGGTACCAAATCATGGGGTTAGACATACAATCAACTCTTTTAAAAACAAATCAAAATCCCCCACGTCTGTTTCCTTTAAAAAAGGTAAAAAACTAAAAACGCAACAGTCCAGTCATATGACACGTTCTAGTTATCTAGAAGACACCTTTTTTGAATCTCCCACTTTTGACAGGAGTCGGTGGATGGCTTTTTAATATCAGTATCTTAATTTATGTACTTTCACCGTTCTCTTTTTCCAGACTTTTTAGTTTTGTAATGAATGTTTTTTATGTAATAATGTATGTATGTATGCATGTATGTATGTATGTATAATAATAATAAAAAAGACATATGATGGATTCTTAAAGTTTCTTTTAGTTTTTTTATTAATTGTTTCATGCATGAGACATAAACACTGCACCCAGCTGTACACATTGAACACAATTGAAAACATTTTCATTACACCTTGATCGCTTTAATTTTTTTACAAAAGTTGAAACACGTTTGTCATTTTTAACAAAATCATTGCTATACAGTTTCAGAATGTAATCATAACATTTTCCTTTTGCCATATGATAAAGAAAGAACACACAATGCTGCCCGCAGGTGTCTGATGAATAATCTTGCACCTGCTTGGCAGAATATTGTACAACTACACAATTTAGCCTTAAAAAATCATCGATAAAAGCGGGAAAACGGACATCATTCGGCTTATTACCAAAGCTGTCAAAAAAACACCCCACACCAACTTCGTTTATGTATATAGCTAGCCAATGTTCACCCGGAAGACCTGAAGGATGTGTGTTGATTATAGCCATTGCAGGTAATTTTCTTAACGGTGTTTTTGCTAAATAGTCGCACGGGATCACCCCTATAAAATGAACGTTGCGTGAAACCTTATCCATGATGTTGGTGAGCTCTATTGTGTCCATTATTTTTTAAAAGTAATCAACCAGGATCTGTCGACGATTTGACACTTCTATGATGCTGTCGAATATGGCATAGACAATCAGGTTGATTGTTCGAGGTAAAGGCTGTCTGAAGCGCGCTTCAAGCCTGATGTTTCCTGACTTGATAAGCGAGATGTGCTGTCCACAATCCTCGTCTGGTGTGAGATTAAATGCGTATAGCGTATATCCATTCAAAAAGTCCTCCCTATCTATGGATAGGGCATGGTTTTTGAGATGTTTTCCAGATGCTAATACTAATTGGTAGAATTCACGCACTGCAGAACCATTCGCATAATCAGGCTGTAGTGGTTTTGATGGAAACTGAAGAGAGTCCAGATAAATAGAAAGAAATTCTGCATCATAATGCTTAAATGCGAATGGGTTTTTAGCATAAGTACCTGTAAAAGCATCATTATCAACCATTGCTATAACAATCGATTTGGGTAGTGTTCCTAAAAACAGGTTTTCCTGATTGCAGACACGCGATCCTGCAGGGATTGAAAAGTTTTTCACACACACCCTGTCAATGGGGTATTTAGCAGTAGTTGAAAGCAGGGCCTGTGCATGTCCCAATCTCACGGCTGGTGAAACAGCTACCTTTTTCACAAACAAGGACGCAGATAATATGCTTAATTTATAAGCTACGGCATCACTTCTCATCAAACAGAATTCATCTTTACCCCTCGTCATCCGTATTCTGACGTCCACACCGTTAAGCATCAGTTTTTCTTGAAAAAAAATATCGCTGTGAAGAGGTGTGAGAAGCTCCAGCACGCTGCTAGCATTGGTAAATGCTGCCCTTTTGGTCAGACCATGATTTCCACCAGCAGGATCCGCTGTGTCCATGTGCCCTGCTGTGTCCTTGTAAAACAGGCCTGCAGAGAAAAGCGACTCAAGAGTGTCTTTACCATAGTTGATGAGACACTCTATTATGCATCGATAGGGATATAAATTTGATCCTTGAGAAATTAATCTATCTCCTAAAGACACGTCCACTTGTGAAAATATTGTAGCTCCCGCATAGTTGATAAGACCTACAGGTGCACCGTCTGCTATATCTGTCCCGTCTGGATTTGTTATTTTGAGGCGTAAAAACACCAACGTGTTGTTTAGGTCCAAATAATCTTCACCATTACCGGCGATAAAAAACTCGAGAGGCGATGTGTCTGAAATTGCAGACAGCGGCGGCACCTCGATGTATGCATTTTTCTCAATCGCGGTTTGAGTCAGCGGCACTGTGAACAGATCCAGTTCGGATTTTAAACATTCTTCTGACATGGTGTGTAGTAAGGCCATGGTCTAAAAAATTGTTTTGATAGATTTATGTTTTTTTTTTGAAGATGGGGCTGTACGTTTTCCTGGCTCCTTGCGCTTGCGTTTCAAGACTGGCGTTTTCTTGGGAGCACGTTTTCTTTTCTTCTGTGTATGACCACTCCTCCGCACGCCTGGTGGTTTAGATGAGTGTCTGCGTGCCATTACCATCAGCCCTGATCCGTCTTGAGTATTGTTATTAATAGTCCGTGATAATGTGTTGCTAACAACGTCTGTTAATATGTTTTTGGCGGCTGATTTAAGATGCGGTTTTGCTATGCTAAACCCTCGTTTAAGCAATGGTATGGCCATTCTGAAAAGGCCCCTGAATATGCCACCCAAACCAGCACCATACATAACACCGCCCCCGGCATAACCAGGGAGTCCATTGCCTGCCTGATTTTGGTAATATGACACGTAGCGCTCAGCATCCATATTTCGGTTGTTAA